GCGGGCTGCGCCTCTTATGAGCTCCACTGGGAGGGATTTAAACAGAAACAGTGGAAGGTCTTCTCTAAATGAAGAACATGACTGTTCAACTGTGTTCAGACAAATACTGTGACAGTTCTGAAACAAAAGAACTTGACTGTAAATATTCATTTGAAATCTTAAAACATCCCTAGGCAGTGGGCCCCAGGCCCCCCACATATTAAAAAAAAAACATAGAAAGATGGAGATGTGTGGGAAACAGTTACGTATTTGTACGGATGAAGCCGAGATTGTGTGGGATGTTAACAGCAAAAAGTAAGGACAAAAAAAAAAAAGGTTTTACAATACTTTGGGGCATGCATGTCTTTGCATGTGTGGGAGGGACAGCTGCATATACAGTAGTTTATAGTAACCATCCAACAAACAAAAAGCAGCATTGTTCAGCTGATTTTGACCAAGTCATATTCACTTTCAAATATGGAAATAAGCATGTACATACGTTTATCTAATTTATTTTAACGTAGTTTTACCTATGCAGTAAAGGCATTATCAAAAAAGAAAAATGAGAAACGAAGATGAGAAGAGGCCGTAGAATTGACAACAGGGAATATACAAGCCTCAACATCTAATGAGCTCAGCAGACTGCTGGCAGCAGGGTAATCGCACGTCTGTGTAGAAGCAGAGAAATCAGATAAAGCCGCTGGCACAGAGGCACAATGCCGACGCCAGAGCTGAGCTGCACATCATTGGTAAGTCACAGCCACCTCACTGACACGATGACATCATTTCATTTTCTCACTGCGCATGAAATACAAAAGTGACATCAGAGTTTTCTAGACCAGGCTAGAACACCTGTTTATTATTTATTTCCTTCTATCATTCATTCTTTAATTTTCTTTAGTTTTTCTTTATTTTTGATTGTTGCTAAACTGAACAACTTTGTTATTCCTGCACAAATTTTAACGTTTTAACTTACCGAATACTTAAAGTCAGAATGAATAAATAGGACACTTCACAATATACAAGACTCAAAATGGAGCTAGGTAAATATAACACTACAGTAGACCTTGCCTTATTTAAAACTTGTTTCTTTTTTAAAAACACACAACATTTTTTACCCTAAAACTTTGTCTTAGAGTTCCTTGTATTTTGTTTTAAGGATAAAACTCAGGTGTGACTAATCACAGGTGGATTAGATAACACAATGATGCAAAGCGTGGGCATCCTAGTTTGAATAAGTAACCATTAGAAAAGGGAAAAAAAACAAGAGATTTTAACCTTTTTGTCTGCCGGATTCACTTAGACAAATAATGGCACATTTGTTGAAATTCTGTCACCTTTAATTCAAACATTGAAACACATAGAAAATCATCTGACTGCGGTTGACAGGATTGCCAACGCATAATCAAACAAACTTTACTTTAAAGAAAATGAATCCTTCAGTAGAAGATGCCATAACAAAAAATGAAAAGATCCTTTTTTTTTTCTTTTGTTACCTTTGCCAGAGTGGTATTTGTGCACATTTGTCTTACAACACAAAACTGAAGATTTTCATCTTGCAAAACCATTACATGCTGATCAATACCCAACCTGCTCCTTGATTTACCTCAGGGGAGAGTATCATTTGAGCCAGCTGCACAAAACCATTTCCATTTAATGAAATTGGCTTCGAAAGCTATTTGATGTCACATGGAAGAAAGGGGTCACACAAACGGTCTTTCTTGACAAGAATAACTAGTGTGACTTGCTTAAATATCAAACCCCAACTCCTTTAAAGCCCCGATAATTAATGAATGTGTCAGTATCTTAATATCCTTCAAGTAACAACACAGAGAGGAGATAAACATTGAGTAATTTGAATAGGGGATCCCCAATGATCAGCGTTGGCTTGGGAGCAGTTACATTCACACACATTTGTATGAACACACACAAAAAAAGAAGCTGTTATTAAACCCACAGGAACTGAGTGCGTGTGTGAAAAGACAGAGTTTATTTTTATGAGTGGGCATCTGAGCTGCTGACGTCTGAAAACTTTGGGTTATTAAAGCAGAGAGGGCAGACGCAAAAACCCACAATCACATAATCCCAGAAGGCACTAGTCTTTGTTAGGAGGAGAGGAATCCACTTACACAAGACAGAGACAGAGAACTCCAGCAGATGCCACAGTCTACCATTACACGGGTCTTACCTTTGTTGTGTATGATGAATTCTTTCAATTTCACTGATTAGATTGTCTTACCACTGCTGCTGTTGCTTTCAGTGTCTGTCCATGTGTATTTGCTGTTTGAGCTACATGGCGTCAGAATTTTTTCACTTTTAATTAATTATTTATAAGAAATTCTGATCAGTATCGAACTTTAGAAAGAATTGTTAAGACTATATAAAAATTAGATTAATTATGAGATTGAAGAGACTACAGACTCTTTAATAAGGTTTTTAGTACTGGGGTTTCTATCTTTTCTTATCAAGTGAAACAGCTAAACATTTCTCCCATCATTGTTCATTGCGATACCTTCACAGAAATAGGGTATCTAGTCCAAAGCACCCCCGACAGCTCATGCCCGGGATCTGTCATTACATCCACTGTGATGTTCCCAAGACACCTGCAGTCATTTTAAATGTGGATTCTCCTCCATCCCTCTACCTGTGTGTTATTAGGGCTATATTAACACCAAGGGATATAATGTTTCTCTCAAGGTTAGTTTTGTCAGAGGCTACTGACTGTTAAGAGTTTTGAGTTAAAAATCTTTTAAAACGCTAACAGAAATAAGGTATTGCTCTTTGTGGAAACTGTAGAGATTGTAAAACAAATTCTAAGCATGGTATTTCATGTTTTGTTTAGTTCATTTCAGGAGCGAGCATACATGTATTCCTTTGAAATGTTGCATTCCTTCTTTTTAAACATTTCAATGATGTTATTGCTTTTCAAAATATTATTAATTTGTAATTACTGTTTTGCACAAATTGCAAAAGAGAATTGGGTTGTCATTTTATCTCTAATTCCACCAATTTCCACTCATTCTTTGGTGGGGACAGGGTCAGGGCTGCAGGCATAACAGTACAGTTAACTTTAATTGCTCAATCATATAATCGAATAGTGGAAGTGGTTTTGTTTGGAACCATATATATATCAGGGGTGTCCACCTCCAGTCCTTGAGGGCCTCTGCACATCTGATTAAGTGGATCGGTTCTAAAGTGCAAAGGCCTAATAATAGTGCACTGGTGTAAATCAGGTGTGGCAAAGCAGGGAAACTGGACCAGCAGTACAGAGGCCGTAGGGCCGACTTACAACACCCCTGATTTACATGCACATTTGAATCATTTTCCCATAAACCTGTTGATAAACCGGAGGTCCTGTCAGCCTTTGCTTCTCATGGGGACTCATCTTATGGTGCTTTGCACCAAGCATGTTTAGTGCAAAGAAGATAAAGCACCATATTTGCAGTAAACTGAATTTGAGCTGAATTGGAATTCAAACAAAAACATAAAGTGACGGCATTTCATCGTGCCATATATTTTGAGTCCTAAAGAGCTATAGATTGGCCCCTGGTCTTCGAGGTAGCCTATACATTTTGAAGATTACTCCATGTAAAACTGACATTTGTCAAATGTGTTTGAGCAGCAATTAACTCCTTGGTCAGACATAAAGGAAATAGAGCAACGGTTAAATGATGCTTAAAGTCTCAGATGCGAAACATTTCAGCAATCTTATGTATAAAATATGATACACATGGCGTTTCATGGTTAAAATCATTCCCTTATTTATTTAAGTTTCGAAATTGAATTGTCAACTTATTCAGAACAATTTTGCGCCATGGGAGGAATGTTGTCTCATCTTTCCAAATTATAGAGTGACGCAAAAACACAATACATGAAAACCTGCCCATCTGGAATGGAAAAGGCCATTTTTTGGTTTTGGATTAAACAGAAAAATAAAGCAAAGAGTAGGCCTCAACTTTTTCAATCTTTGTCATGTCCATAGTCCTAATCAACATTTGTGGAAATTGTATGTTGGGTGCAGAAGCCTTTTTAGTAACAATATGCGGAGATACCATATAAAACAGGGTTTTTTTAAGCATTAGCTATTCTCAGAAGCAGTAACAACAAGGCTGAGTCCCATACTGAGGGGGCAAGGCAAAATCTTTACAGTTGGTGGCATTTTCATTGCGATGTGTAGTTGACATCAGGTCATACAAACAGGATGAGACACTTGATTAGAACATGTACTGAATGATAATGAGGGAATGGGGTTTATGCGTCAGTAGTTTGTCTTTAGACTACGCTCATATCACCTGCTGCATCATAATCAGATACAGTCGTAATCAGTTTGAGCTTGTATATTTAAAGGGGCTGATTGTTTTTTTAGGGCGCTGACCTTGGTGCTGAATTTAGGCAATTTCTTTTTTAAGTTATTTTGCCTTCTTCTCAGGGCATGTGACAAAAGGAGTTTGTACAGTTCAAATAACAAACCTTATTGACCATCTGTTCAATTTGAATCTTAATTGTACCACGACCAAAGTGATCAGCCTTCCAGTGCTGCCATCGTATCTGATGCAACAGGCGTTTCCCATCTTCCAAGTTTACCAACGATTTCTCCTGGATCAAACCAGGTTTTCTAATGGTCGCTTCAAGTAGCCTAGCCATCTGACTCATGTAAACCTTTAAGATGAAAACTGGATGAACTCTTGAAACCAATTAATATTGATTCTAAAATCGGTTCAGACACGGGATTCGTGGAAAACCTGAGCTATTGCGCAGCCAACCCGCGCGTCACTCGTCTGACATCAGCAGGCGGCTTAAATACCAGTAACCCCGCGCAAGGTAAACCATAAACAGATGCACCTTCATATGGGCAAGCCGAAACCCAAACAAAACGCTTGGAGACGATCATAGCAGCAGTGCCAATTGAATGCTCTGTAACAACGATGTACCCATGTTTTGAAAGTGGTACTTTTCTCTGAATAGAACTCTGTGTGCAGAGCAAATTTTACTCCTCAGAGAAACCACTCTTGGTTTTAACAATGTTCAACGATACTGGCTTTGGAAACCTGGACACAAATGTTTCTCTACAGTCTCTCTATCTCAGCCACAACCGCAGTTCGTTCCCTGCGCTTCGCCTCGAGTACAAATCTCTGGTGACTTCAGCTACAATGTTTGCCGTGGGAGTCTTGGGAAACCTCATCGCCATAGTCGTGCTGTGTGTCTCTAAAAAAGAGCAGAAAGAAACAACTTTCTACACTCTGGTGTGCGGGATGGCCATCACGGACCTGCTGGGTACATGCTTCACCAGCCCGGTGGTTATTGCCACATATGTGGCCAGTCGCTGGCCAGGAGGAGTTCTGCTTTGCCACTTCTTCTCCTTCTCCATGCTTTTCTTTGGCTCTGCTGGTATGTCCATCCTGTGTGCAATGGCTGTGGAGCGCTACCTGGCTATAAACCATGCATATTTCTACTCTCAATATATAGACAGAACAATGGCGCGGTTTGCGCTCCTGGTCACCTACTTGGCCAACATTGTGCTTTGTATCATGCCTAGCTTTGGCTTCGGTCAGCACGTCAGGCACTTCCCCGGGACTTGGTGCTTTTTAGACTGGAGGGCGACAGATCCGCTCGGTGCTTGTTACTCGTTTCTGTACGGGGGCGTAATGCTGGTGCTTATCGCAGTCACAGTTTTGTGCAATCTGGCGGTGTGCAGGTCTCTAGTCGGGATGAATCAGAGGACGGGAATTGTGAGGACTGAGATGTGTGATCAGGGCAGCTCCCGTCGACGCTTCCCCCGGCTGCCATCGGTCACCTCAGCAGTGGAGATCCAAATGTTCTGGCTTCTGATCTTCATGACCATCGTATTCCTCGTCTGCTCCATTCCTTTGGTGGTAAGGACAAACATTTGTTGTCTGTCAATTGCTTCATAGTGTACACGACTAATTGACTCCAATACTGCTGTGTTTCCACCTGACAGGTGCGAATCTTTGTGAACCAACTTTATGATCCGGACTACATTTCTGCCGGGGGCAAGCCTGACTACCGGAGTGACCTACTGGCAATCCGCTTCGCCTCATTCAACCCTATACTTGATCCCTGGGTGTACATTTTATGCCGGAAGAATCTCCTGCTGAAGGGTTGCGATAAGCTCAAGACAGCAGTTGCGAAGGCTAAGGGTGATAACGGCAACAACATCGGCTGGATGGAGGATCAAAACTCCCCCCCATCTTTACGCAGCAACGAAACAAGTTACGCGTCATTTCGCACAGCAAGCTATAAGAACGACTTAGGACATCAGCTGTCCATAAAGACCAGATGTTTTACAGACTTCGCACTGAGACAAGCGTGGGAGTACGACACTGCTCGGGCCAACTTTCATCCCTTCAGCGTCGAAACAACCGCAATTATTGGTTGCGAGGAGGAAACAGAGCATTCCAAGCGCGACATTGCAGAACAAACCTCTCCAGAGACCGGTGGGGTTACCCACATTAGAAGAGCAGACACTGTCACCTGCACGTTCAGCACAAGCTCGAGCCAGTCAGTGAATTAGATCAATCTTTGACGTCCAAAAGTTCACATATCTGCACATCAGTGCATCTAGTGATGCACCGCGAGGTCCCTCTATCGCTGACTTATGGGTTGACTATTTTACAAAATGAATAATATAATACACTCTGCATAATACATGACTAATTTTGTTCACACTACGTCTAAATGCAACTGAAACCGAACCAAACCTGACACATTATTATTTTTTTATCAAAGAAAAAAAAAACATGTTTTTTTCCTGGAGGTGTTCAAGTTAACAAAAGGTGGAACGATACAGGTAATCATCTTAGATAATCCATTTTACAGTCCGTAACTGTACTGTGCAATCCGTGTATTTGTCCCAAATTGCTTGTTGGAGTGTTTTCCTTGTAAAAAAAACATCACAGCCTTGGTTTCGATTCTGGATAAACAGGAAGAGTTATGGGAAAATGTAATTTAAGAGGACAATGATTCAAAACACAGCATACAATCTGCAACAGAATGGCTGAAGCAAGGACACCACTTCATTTTAGAGTGCTTGAAATGCCGTGGTGGGATCTCTAGATATAATTTTCCATCGCGTACTCCTCCATGTTGGCTTTTTTGTTTGATAAATGACAAACTGTACTATGTCATATGCTGCTAAAGTCAAATATTACTTTATACCCTATGGGTACAATTAAAAGTGTTTTATATGCAAACAAAAAGCCAGTTTGTGCAATTGCTAATTAAGTTTACCCATTAAATGTTTTTGATAGACTGTATTTCTTTTTTTCTGAAAGCTATATTTTTGATGATCCTAAATGCTGGATAAGTGTGTTTTGTCTCATGTAATAATGTGAGACTATCCTGAATGAACTGAATATTAATTGTTAGATACATTGTTTATTTGTTTGTTTTTTTTTAAATTCATCTTACACATTTTGCAGGTATTGTTCTGATTATAGTATTTGTAAACTGCCAATATGACAATATCTTAAAAGGGGAAAAAGTAAATCACTGTTGTCAGATGTTTTGCCTGAGAGTGTTTGTGGATCTGTATTGGTTGTGCGGATAAATAAAACAAAACGGTCAATTGTGCCAATCAATCACTCAAAAAACATTAGTTCACATGCAAGTGGAAACTGAAAGCAATGTTTCCTTTACTTTTATGTTTGACCAGCAGGTGACGCTACATGATAAGTTAACTGAAAATGGGGCTGATTTTAAAAAAGAAAGTTAATAGTTGATGTGGGGAGGAAATTGAACAAAAAGCAGTGTGAATACTCTTGTAGTAAAACAACAATAAGAGTCATATCTTAAATTTTTTATTCCCTTAAGGATAATGCCATACAAAAATAGACAACATTTCTAACAATAATAACAATTATGATATTAATAAAATTATTATAATAACAATAATAATATTAGGTGATGTAAAAAGAGTGTAACTGAATTGAAGTGTATAAATGTTGAGGTGCTGTAACAAAAGGTTTAATTTATTTAGATTTTTCATTAACTAAATTGATTGCAATTTTTAAATACTTGACACAAAAAAATTGGACTAAACATTGAAATTGTGATGTTTTTGTTATTCTGGAGGAAAAAAATGTTATCTGAAAATAATGGCTTAATTTCAGCACAGCTGGCCAATTAAATTTATATAACTCAGAGATCAAATGTGGGGAAGAGTTGGAGACTTTTGTGATCGTCTGTTCCCGCATCTCTAACTAAGGTTAGTGTTCATGCACTGGTTAAAGTGAAAATCAGCTTCTTAAGGATGGGCGAGCGAGCGAACAGAAGCAACTGTCAATGTGAAATGTGAATCTGGGCAATAAATAGATATATATATCTACATAACAGAGTTCATAAAAAAACAGCTCTCATATGAAGCCATAATAAATAAATAATTTATCGGAAATAAATATATTTTACTTTTACACAGTAATACATGAAGATGCATAGCATCCATTTGGCTGAGTTCACCTGAACGTAGAAAAGATATATCATACTGTCCTGTTAGTTTGTGGAAAAAAATGATAGAGCTGCTTTCATTGTTTGTGGTAAGCATATCTGTCTGTTTGATCAAAGTTAGATTATAAACACAGAGTCAGTCCTTTAACTGTGTTTTTCTTTCTTTATCTTTTGAGCTTCAGCTTTCAGGTCTCCCACTTAAAATCAAAACATGTTCATACAATAGGGCTTTTTCACCCACTTCGAGTATCCTCCATTAGTTGCTGGACAATTCACTCTTTTATGAAGCGCATAAAAATCCATACTGGGATTCCCTGATGACGGTCCTCCTCTGTCTCTCATTTTGACCTTGACCCTTAATTGTCCAGCTGCATCCAACAAGTGGCCTCTATCACTTCCTGTGCTCAGCGTGTGACAGCGCCCCTCCCTGGTCATTTCCTGCACACCGGCCATCCTGCACACATCTGAGCCACTTGAATCATCTCTATTTAGGAGCGATAACACCAGTCTCATTCACCCACTTCTTGATTTTTTTCTCCTCAGCCCATGCACATGCAGCTGGCAGCAGACAAGGACTGGATGGTCCTCCATGTGGTCTGGGCGTCCATGAAGGAAACCGGCTCATACCGGTCAGGCCGACAGCAGGGGTGGTTACTGACCTTGCGAGAAGTGCGTCGAGGCAGCGAGCCATTTTCCAGGAGTGCCTTCAGTGCCAGGTCATAGTTTGTTCTTGAGGACTGGCAGGAGCCAACACAATACTTAAAGAGGACAATCTCATCTGAATCAAAACCCAGTCCCAGGTCGCGAACCCTCATCTCTCTTTTCTCTACACGGCAGTCTCTGCTGCTCTGCTTTGGACGCTGGCTTTTACCCTTCCGATCGCCATTTCCCGTCTCTTCTTCTTCCTCCTTTTCTTTCTTCTTCCTCTTCTTTTTTTTTTTCTGTGATCCCTTGGGTTGAAGTTCTGTGGGGTCAGAGGAGCGTGGAGAGCGCCCCACCCAGCGTCGGTTGGGATGGTCATCTACCTCACCCACTACGAAAGGTTCTGAAATGGATAGAATTTTAAGAAAATGGTTGACAAAGAGAATAGCACACTAATTTAAATTCCATATAGAGAAACCGTGGGCTTACAAGTTACAAAATGATCAGACATAAACTTCATCTCTGTGTTAAATTGAAAATAATATCAATTTACATCTAAATGTACTAAGACCCCTGAGACTAAGCATCTTTTCCTCATAATACATCCCACTGAAGCTTCTGTAAACTCTACTTCCGAAACAGTTTCAGTACCGTAAAGAGCATGCCAAGTGGAGTAAGGGTCGCTGTCATCTTCCTGTTCCTTGTCCTCCACAACCTCTGGCAGTGTCACAGGAAATTCTCTCTCCTCTTGGCCTCCCAGCAGGCCCACAGCATGGCCTGAATCTGATACACCACTAGAGGCAGCAACTCTCATATGGGCACCTTCCACTACAGGCAGCAGAGAGACGAGAACCCACAGCAGCACCTAAAAGAGAACAGAGGACATGAGCTGGCTGGAGGAAATGTGAGGTATATATAATTTAGCTGCAGGCTAAAAGTTGCTCAAACGAATTACCGAATGATGGTGTAGACTTTGGTCCACAGTCTGTGTTATTACTCAGTTATCTAGGGTGGTATAAAACAACCACTATGACCTCTGCAACTAAGATACCATTTCTTTGTCATTTTTCTTCTCCTTATTGTACCTATAGAATGAACTGATGGGGCAACAATCTTTGTCACATTCACTGAAGACAGAAATACTTGCTATTTATAGTCATCCTTAACTTGACTTCCCAGGACATTTTGTATCAATCTAATGTTATGGCTGCAGTCCTGCTGCTAGAGGTAATTTTCATTTGTTTGGTTACAACTGGCTTCTTTCATAAAGGATTTCATGTATACGTAATCTTAAATTATTATTTTAAGACTTTAACCTTTGATAGGATACCCTCCCTAGCTGTTTTTTACACTTTTCAGTGTTCATATTAGACTAAGCTAACCAGGTCAAGTCACATCAAATTCCAATCATATTCATTCTACAGACAAGGGAATGATGCCAATCTTCTCATCTTACTTTGTGGAAAGAGGGAAAATATTTCCTAAAATGGTGAACAGTTCTGCGATGTAGGTTTATTTTAAATTAAACATTATAAGCCTCTAAAGCTTTTTACAAATTAAGGTCTATTTATCTACTGATAAAACAAAACTGAAAAAGCATTAATAAAACACAGAGCTCTGTGTTTTTAAGAGAGCTGCATCACTACTTTGAAGCCCTTTTCATCAAGTTCAATCTTATAGACTACAGTCAAATAATTAATTATTTGTGTTCTGGATTAAATGTAATCTGCGATCTGATTATTTAGTACAAAAAAAAACATCTGTGCTGACAGAATGTCATGAAAAACTCACTTCTGTGTCTTGTATGGCTGTTTTTAATTTGTCATTCATACCCATTCATAACTTCTATTCATGTTTTTAGTCAGCTGAAATATAAAAATTAAACAGCTAGGCTGTTTGCAGACATTGTGATTTTATATTCATGGAGGAATGAGGAAGAGATGTTGGGCAAAAGTTGCAGAAAATAAGACCAAGAAGAAGACCAGAACAAAAGAGAGGAACGTTTCTGACAAACCTTGGCCTTTGCTGACATTACAGAAGTAATCTGTCTTTCCTTCCGCCAAACCCTCCATCTGGTCCCACCTGGAGAAATAGAGGCAAGGAGGAATTTAGCAACAAGAACAAGACAACTCTGTCAGCTGTCCTTATCCCAGAAGGTCTTTTGAAAGGCTAACATAAACTAAAAGCTCACGATGCGGGCAATATGATGTCTATACATTCACAATTGTCCAGATACTGTAAAAAAAAAAAAAAAGAAAGAGCTCCGTGGGCCTCCAAGCAGGTTGACATGTCACATAAATCACGTCCTCAATGCATGAGGACAGTGTTTTTGTTGCTGCTTCAAAGAAAGACCAATGTTTGCTGCCAACAACTGTGGCTAGTGTTGGCTTGTCTGCTCAGACATCCATGCAAACAGACCCAGTTAGGAAACAAAAAGGCTGCATCTGTGATATACTTGTCAAAGGCATTCTTCGAGGTTATTCCTGCGGCAGAGGTACAAGCAAGGGGGAACGAGGCATAGCGAGGGCACTTCACGGAGGTCCCAGACAAAAACCAAGGAGATGGAGGGCAGGTGATAAGAAATGTCACGGACGCAGATGTTTATATATAGTACGTGCAGTGTGTAGGATAGTCCTGGTGGGTTTCATGAGGTCATAACACAGCATGAGGTCATTATGCTCTGTTGTCTCCCCCAAAAAGCAAAACTCAGATGTAGTCAGAACATTGTGCACTTCAAAAAGAGAAGTGATCCTTCCTATTAGATTATTATTTAAATTTTTTTTTTACTTTACGCAGTTTCTGAAATAACTTTCATCAGCAAACTAGAGGAAATGAGAATAACAAGTAATTGGATTACATTTGAATTTGTAAAAGATGAATAATTTACTTTTAGCTTGTATCGATAACAAATTGCAGTACGCATGTCTGTATCGTATTTTCAGTCATTGCACTGCAATAGATTTTCCTTTTAATCCCATCATATTACCTGAAATACTCCTTCCTTCGATTTATATTGTGATACTGACACCAGGGTTTGATGCAATTTTGATTAATAACAGTAATAACAGTAATAATAGTTCATTTGATAATGATAATAGTTCATTTGATAATGACTCCAAGACTTATCAACCACCTCAAAAGTTTCACAATTTTTTAATCTAAAAGAAGACAGAATAGAAAGCTGCACCATACCCGTATGGTTATGGGTATTCATTTTTTCTTCCTTCAGTATATGTATGTAATATTATCTCCATCTCTGTTATGGTAATGCGAAGTTTAACACAATAGTTGCCTTTGAGTAATTCAACCTATATGAAGAATTCTACAGAAGAAGAGTTTTTCTGAAGTTTCATACAGGTGAAATATCAGAATGAAAGTGTTGTTACTGTTTGTTACTTTCTGAAATATAATGCTACACAGTTCATCTGTTTGGCTTCTGACTGGTGATTTGATTCCAAGTGATCCGTAGCCTGGAGCTGTTGCCCTTTGCCTTGATTTGACAGTCTTTTCCTGTGCGAACCTCCTAGAGCTGGAAATGCCTCTTTTTATGTGCAAAAATTCCCACCTAGCAATAAGTCAAATTTGTTCATTCTGTGTTGTACGTGGAACATGTAGGACCTCAGTTTTTAAACGTGAGTCTGGACTGGAGATTGTAAGCAAATTTCCTCAGCTGTGGCTTTAATGGTTGATTTTGTTCTCCACATGCGTTGTGAAAGACTGAATGCATCTTATGAACATGCTAACAATGTTCAAAATTTAATTTTCAGTGGAAGGTGGGCTTCACCAAGATAGAACATAGGGAAGACACTTTCAGTCGTAGGACTTCAATTGAGACCATGATAAAACAATATTTTAATATAATTCATTTTCATTCATGCGTTACAACTATGCTGCATGATATTGTAGTGGTTAGTGCAGGTTTGTAGGGTTCCTTTCTGTGTGGTATGGCTCGAGGTCCTCTGAATTCCTGAAGTCCAAGAATGTATACTACCTGTAACCCAATGATTGCTGGAATAGGCCCCCAGCAGCATATAGGAAAGTTGTTTGGATTTCTCTGAAAAAAAGTGGTGGACCTTCAAACTTTGCCATTCATGGAGCCAAACTAACTCATCTACAAAAATTCTGTCAGTAGTATTGCCTTTGTGTCAGATGTTGACTAGAATATTCAGTTAAAGAGAAATCAAACTTTACCCTCAATCTCGCTGGCAGCAGTCGACCAATCTAAAAGGAATTTGCAGATTCAGATTAGCAGGTGCCAGATTCAGATGAACATATTAACTATTGGTAATACGTAAAAATAACATTTCTGTTTGCTTCAAGAGATAAATGTTTAACAAAGGTTATGAACTGTGCTTTAATAATATCAGTTCAACACTTAAAACATCTGTGTTGTTCTTGTTTAAAATGTTTGCTCACAGTTACTTCTAACATCTTTGAGACCACATCTATCATCACTGCAAGGCTTTGTTTAACTTTAGCAGTGAACTGCAAAAGCACAACATGCCCACTGTAATGTACTGTTCGTGTATCTGTAGATCTCACCGATATGTAAGCACCATGTTTATTTAACAGTCAAGAACAATCTCAGCAGTTCTGTCTGTGCAATGAGATGGAAGACTGACAACTGGTTATGGATCACAGGGGATGATAAGACCTTTTGATGCATTTTGGCAATCCTGCAAGTTCCAGATGTCGCGATCCGGTCCAGGCAAAGTAGAATTATGCACATTTAGGGGTGGGTGGGGAAGGATAGGGAACGAGGGGTCAACCTAAAACAAATCTATGGTGACTGTGTTGCTCCAATCGCCATTTGCCTCTGAGTAAATTTAAAGCCTATAAGAAAAGTGAAGCAGGAGGGGGGGCTGCAGGTCTTCATTAAGTCTCTTGAGAGGTGCGATTCAGAGCCCCTAATGCCACAGCTGGGAGTGTTTAGCCCTTTTTAGATCAACGAGCTGAGAGTCTGCATGGGCCTGTCCGCTGGTTCATTTCACCCAAGCACTCTGGAGCTGTTTACAGTCCAACGCCTACAGCCTTTTCAGAGATGATGTGGGAGGGAGAGCTGAGGGATGGCGAGAGGGAGAATGCAAAGAGAGACACTGGTCTGAGTAGCAAAAGAATCATATCAACTTGCTGACAGTGTTTGTATGTAATGCAATGAGAAACTAAAAAACATTTTTGTCTTGTTTGGGTTTTTAAAGCTCTCTGTTGGTCCATCAGTCTGCTGAATGGCTTAGAGTTATTTTTACCAAATTTATATTTTTGATCCTGTGCAAGCTAGTTATTCACAGTTTTTGCAGACTGATAAAAGTCTGATAAGTATTGTCAATGTTTTTCTTAAAAATGATCAGTTTGCCTAATATAAACAGTTACACCCAGACGTGATCTGTACCTCTTCTTCCTCAAAAGCCAAAACAATCTTCTCATTTTGAAAGCCAACCTTCTGTAGATCTACAGTAATGATCTCCCCATTAGAGACTTGCCATGTTCACGCACAAATGCAAAAAGTTCTGACCTCCAGCTTCAACCTGTCACTACTGGGGTGCCTGATTACAGGAGCTAGGAGAAAAACAAGAGAACGGTAAATCACAGCCGGCTCAATAAAAGACACCTGTGGTGTAAGAGGAGATGCAGGAGAGGGAGGCTGAGCACCAGGAGAGTTGCCTGATCACTACCAGACATCAGGAAACCTGGGGAGGTCCTATAAAGTGTTGCATGGAGATACCTGCTGGTGTTCTAGAGCTAGGTTGAGTCGAGTAAAAACCGGTTTTGTAACTTTGTTTTTAGCTAAGTATGTGTGTTTCGGGGTAATACACTGAGTTATTCTTCTTCATTATGATATAACCAAAGATTCCTCACAGAGAAAAAAAAAGTGTTGAAAATTAAACATGAACAAAATGTGCAGGAGCGATGTTCATCTCAACTCGCTTTTTCTTTTCTTGCAAGGTTCTGATTTAAAGCTTCTTACGCATTAATTGTGTTTCTCTCCTATTAAGTGTGCTTGCTTCCTATTCACAGCTAAACCAATTTCACTCTTCAGCAGTCAACGACTCCATTTTAACAGTGGAAGGCGGCCACAAAGTTGAGGGTGAAAAAACTAAAGTGGGGGGTGGGAAGTAAAGAGAATGAGATAATTAAAAAAATTACAATAAGCATAGGGAGAAAAAATTGGTTATTGTCCAAGAGAAAGAAAACTAGATAAAAATAATTAAACCTCTAAATGACAGAGGTCTAAAAGAAGAGATAAGAGTGGAAGTGAGGGAATGACTAAATGAGAGTGCAAAAAGAGTGCAGACTGAAGCCCAGTCACTCGGTAATCCCATAATCCCTGCCAGGCAGGCAGGATGTAATTGCTCGTTAGTGCCAGTTTCCACTCTGAAGGCTGTCAGTGCTGGAAAACCACAGAGTGCCGCCAAAATGAGAAACAGATAGCACGTCCCATATCTCTGTTCAAATAGGTAAGATAGGCCCCCGGCCGAGGGCGCGAGTGGCACGCACACACTTCATGTCTGCTGCTCTTTTTTTGTTATAATCCTTTCTGTGCAACAAAGAGATACACTTTAGTTCTGTAAATTTCTCTGACATTTTCAGCACACACTCTCGAGCCCACACACAGCCGTCCGGGGTTATCGGAAGGGTGGACACCACGAAGCATAGGGGAGAAAAATGAACTGTGGATAGAATTTATATGACCTCACCAATATGTGTGTTTCTCCCGCTGTGTGGTTCACTGTGTCATTTCGACGCTTCAGAAGAACACTTAAGACTTAACTAAATCCAAGGAAACCACATAATTATGCCAAATTAAGCAAATTGAGTGATTATAGATATATGGTGATGTGCAGCTTTCAACACAATACAGATGTTAAAACGAAGTTTGTTGGCAAAAATATTACACTAAAACTAGATTACTTCCAATGTATTAGTTTAGCTACAGAAAGCAATAAAGAAAAACTTCATCAGTGCCTCTGATACAAAAGTGGGTGTCCAGCCTCAGTGTGGTAATTACCAGCTAAACCAGCAACTGCTCATACCTGCACAGCTTTATCATTGGTTAAAGAAAAAGTGGCTTTTATTGTTGTTAAACACATCTAACCTTTTCTCTTTTTTCTGACTCAAACCTTCTAAAACTTAAAACTTTAAATTTTGTTCTCAAAAATGCAGCATGTGTTATATTTATTTAATTTTAAATGTTCTTCCATTTTACAGCTCTGTACTGCAGTAACTAACTACCCAATGAGATTTTTAAATTCTAATTGAGGTATTTCTTGTAAAAATAAAAAAAAACGGGCTCAAAGCTTAAAGAATTCAGTCCCACCAGCCTTCCTTAAGTTTATTGAGATCTGTTTATTTACATCCACCCTTTTGGCCCCAGTGGGGTTGAAATTGAAACATTTTACTATCTAATTAACAACCACAGCAAATCCTGAATTAATTAATTATCTAATCCTTTCATCCTCCCCAGACTGTAGAAGTCTGGGGAGTGAGGGGGCCAGCAGTTACACCTTTGATGCAGGCAGGTCAGCAGTCATGATGTTGTGTGACTGTTTGTGGTTTAGAATTGTCAAATTATATAGCTGCTTGAGCCACTAACAACTACATAAAGGTCCACCTATGACAGAAATAATAAAAAGGAAATGATGTGTTGACACATAGCTTTAAAGAGCATGTCTATCGTGAGCTTGTTTATTATCATCTTATGCTGGATTAACTGCTCCCTTATGATGGGAACCAGTATTTCTTTAAAGCTTCACGTGCAGTTTATCACTATAACCTGGCTTTAATTAGAAATACCACTTAGAGGTAAACCTATTGGTTGTTGGATAGGAAAGCTGAGTGATAAAGTTCTGATTTCACTGAGTTTACAGTTTATACCTGCACCAAAAAGCAGAGCTCTTAAGAAACGTGCCTAATGGTTCTTCAGTAGAATAAATGAAGCACTTTGAGGGTAGAACAATGTGTTTGAAGTGTAACAATCCTGGATTACTGCCCTCACACGCTTAGGTTCATGTTGCCAAAAAAATGGGGGGAAAAAAAGTCCCTGTGTGATCTACAAGTCTGTGGGTTAAAACTAGCGTGATAACATACATTTTTTCCATTGGGCCACACATTCATCTTGAATGGAAACTAAAGGATTTATTATTACAAACAGATTGAATCATGTAAACCACCTGACTGCACTGGTCACACCTCATCTTCTGACAGACCTGAAAGCTAAAGCTTCAAAGTTGCACATACAGAAGAGAAATCCACAGATATGCCGTAGTACGTCAGCTGTGGCAGCCATGTACAGGTTTAAGCAGATACAGTAAATGGATGAATGGATATTTTCTGTTTTCAATAAACCTCTTTTGCACAGCTCTGCCTTAAACTGTGTAAACTTACTAACCATGTGCTATTATGTTTACCGTTCGCTAATATTCAAATGAGATTTTTTCCTGTCCCTTTGTTCTTTTGCGTGCCTTTCTAATCACATCTTGTTTGGTAAATTTGTCAAAACGCTGTTACTGTTATGGGTTGACACATATGCAAATCTTCCACCTCACCATGAGTCACAGTCTTATCTGTCAGCACTATTTCATTTAGGGACACAAAAGCATAAATTATCTTAGTTGGCTCGGTCTTACAGTGACACTTTACAAGGTATTTCTATAAGTCCTGTTCCAATGGTAAAGAAGCTATTTGAGTGAAAAGAGTCAGGTTAGACGACTTTTTGATTTTATATACCATAATTGTTAATGTTTTCATTGTTCTCGATTTAAGATAAAACCAGAGGCTGTTTTCACCACAAACACCCTGTACTCCACCTGAAAACTAGCAGACAGCACGACAAGCTGCAATAGCATGAGAAGATGGAGACCGAAACAACATTTATACATGCATACAATCTTTTTTATTTTATATCTTATACATAATTTATTTGTGCAGTAAAATAATTGTACCTTAATCTGAATGCTTTTTATTTGGAAACTCAAAATGCTCAACTTTCAATTCCATAAATCCTTTTTTTTTGCAATAAGCAGCATAAATAAAATTTAAAAAATTGCTTTTGAGAGGTGGCAAACTTCCAAAGCAAGAACAGAACATGGATAACAGTACATACGAATAATAAACCTGTCAGGATTTTACACGTCAGCTTAAACTTCTACAATGTACAACTACCTTAAGACAAGATTAAGTGTGTTGGGTAACTGGAAAGTTTAGCTGGTGTGCAGTTAGCTCCAATTACCCTGAGAGCAACAGATTTACAAGCATCTTGTGACCTGTTCAGGTAAATTAAATGAGACACCATCATCCACCACAAATAGTGAACTTTCCCATGAACACCGAGATAAAGAAAGCCTCCTCATACCGCACATCTGTGTCCTCACTGTCTTGCTCCCCTTCACAATGTTTCTCACTCAGGCTATTTCCCTGTGTCCATGACCCTAACAACCCAAATTCCTACCTGATTAAGTTGGTTTTAAAAGGAAGCCACACAGAGAGCAGTTGGGTGAGCCTCACCTTAAATGGGAACACATTTTAGCTGTGTTGGAACAATGATCAGAGAGTAGGATTTCACTTTCCGGAGTTTGTGAGGACAGCAGTACTTGAAAGGCTGGAAAAAGGAGCAGAGAGGATGAATAGCGAAGGATGAAAATGAATAGATAGAAAACATGATCATCACAGGGCAGCTTTCTTCCTGCCAAATACAGGGTGAGAAACTCATATGTTCGGTATGAATGGACTCTGAAAAACTACAAACAAAATCCCTGCTCCCATAAATCCCTGACCCTTGCAACCTTATCTTCTCCCATCTCACATGGTTATTTCTTCAAATTAAGTTCACCCTGAAGCAGAGAACAGAGCATAAAGAATGGACCATCAATAAGACGTGCACACACACACACTTGTCATTACGAGCGTGTCTTGTGTCTGGCTGAGCCAGCGCTCTCCAAAGTGTTTCCGTGTCGCCCGCTCATGCCCCAGACAGACTGGGTTTAATGACCTGGCCTGATGGTTCAAAGCAGCCCTCGAAAGCTATGATTAATGAATCTGACCCACTAATTTCGGGAGAATACAGCTTATTGTATCAAAAAGCGCTCTCACAAACACAAGCAATGCACTCTGCCAGTTAACATTCTTCTGTATTTTCAGGAAAATTTGTTTTAAAGAGAGAGATTTCATGATAAGGACAGGAGTTAGGTACACATTTCATCAGCGGCTCCAAAAGTATTAAGTGCGGCTTTGTTCTTAACAATTTAAGCAGTTTAAACTTGAAGAAAAGTGCTCAACATCAACAACACAATTCAAGTTCATAGAAAGAAAACAAATTCTCCCATGTACTTACACGATACTGTCCACCACTACAAAAGCAAAGACCAGAAGACATAAGTAGCATGGAAAGCATTTGTCTGAAGGAATACATCTAACAAATTGAAATTCCTTTTTGTCAGATCATGCCTCCTTCAATTTGCCCTGAAGCAATCGATGTGGTTTGCTGCATACTTTAAGCACTTCCAGATTGAAGTTGCCCTGTGGCACTCCACGTTGCATAATCAATCTCTCTCCCTGCACTCTCTCCATTAGTGCAGGAACAAAACAACCCCAGTAACATTACACACCAATGCTGACATACAACTGAGGACAAGGCTCCATGTGCAGAAGACACATCCATCTTTAACTGACAGATCTCCATTATTCAGGAAAAAAGCTCCCCAACTTTGATGGTCAAATGTGGTACTGCATTAAAGTTGAATTCATGTAATTCTTTCATCTGTTGCTTGTAAATTTGGAGCCAATCCCAATATTAAGTAAATCTTCATAGTTTTGTAAGCAATCGGTATCTTCAAAAACCATAATCATCTCAGTTCTTTCAACCTCTCTGCACTGAAAAAAGTTGTGTTTGGACTTGCTATTTTTAATGCGAGCTGAATTGATTTTTAAAATGTACATTTGCTTTAAGGAACATGATTGTAAGTGAAAAAAACTAAAACATGACGAAATGATGAAATTGTTTTAGAATCTAGATGCATGTACGTAGTCATTATCTTTAAAAAATGTAATTATAATTCCCCTTTAGCCTTTATAAGCCAAGAATTAAATGCTGGTGGACTTTTTCTAGTTGTAAATAGTAGTGGTGTAAACATTTGCCTTATCTTTGTGTGTATTATCTGGGAGAGCGTAGAATTACAACAAATACAGCACAGAGGATTTGTGTGACTTAACGTAAAACTGTCATTTTAAGTTAAGTGGTCTACAAGACTAATTTCATACTTTACTTCTATATATGATAAGTAGTACATTCAAAAACTATCAACATATAAATTAATAGCTACTTTATACATAATAATTGTATAATTACAGCAAATATTTGCTTAACGTAAAGGTAAAGTTAGTCATCAAAAAGAATGGTAACCTTTTACCTTTACAGTTTGTTTCGATAGCACATAAGGTCTATTGAAACATTTAAACAAACATCTTTTTCATACATAATATTAGTTTTTTTTCTTTCTTCATTTTAATAGAAAGAGAAGATGTTCATAAATTCATATACGTTTAAACCTTAAAATGCCTCAGAATAGTAAATGAGGGAAATAAAAGTGTCAGCCTCCACAAATGAATGGAAATTTACACAGACATTATAAAGCCAAAATACTGACAAATCAATCTACAAGGAGTTCATAAAAAAAAACAACGGTCATAATGACCTTTAATCCATCCGGTCAGCCAACAACAGAGAGCAAGCATCTGAGCAAGAAAAAAATTAAGCCCAACTAACCAGCAAAAAGCAGGGTCACTCTTGTAAAGCCACATGCCAGTTAAAACAAACCAGCCCACACATCAACAGGGTGGTGGTAAAGAGAAAACGTTGGTGTGCTATACCTGACCCTGTGACCTTTGACTGGAGGAAGTGAAAGCTATGGCAGCGTGACGGTGCCGTGTGAGATGCTTGAAGAAGGGGCCAATCCCTTGTGTTTAGCTTGAGGACAAACTGGAGTTTTTTTTTTTTTTTTAAACAAACCTAGTCAAGAAAAACAAGACTGATTCATGACATTTCCTCATGCATTTTTACAAACATTTAAAGTGGGATGGCTGGTAGAGATGTGCGACATGTCTTGGGTGATGCAAAAACTCTCGGACACACAGCTATGAGATTCAAAGGGGAGACGACAAAAGGAAACAAGAACTTGGGGCTGATCATCAAAGGACTGGCTCATTTGTGTGTGTTTTTATATGGACATTGTATGTACATGACAAGCTAGTGAGCAGGTCACTGAGTCAGAGAATAAGTATGACAGTTCATCAGCAATTGTGTGACTCAGTGAAACATCATCTAATTCGTCTTTTCATCTGTGAGCAGACAAATCTGGCTATTTCTGTACAGAAAGTACTAAGGATGTGGGTCCAATTATGACCAAATGTAGAGTTCCACGGGCAACATCCTAAAACAGCATCCCTGGGACAAATTTCATAAAACTAATACCAGTCCTTCTCTCTTTGACAAAAAAACAAACACAAATATACAGCTGTAGTTATATGTGAACTGCCAGAACTTGGATTGCTCTTTGAAAATGCAACAAAAGTGGAGACTTCCTGTCTTAAACTATCTGTTTTTAAGCCAAAACACATACTGGTATGTTTATCTTTTTCTTAATGACAAGACTCTGTTCTTACACCTTGTATAGACTTCAGACTACATATGATAGATAGATAGATAGATAGATAGATAGATAGATAGATAGATAGATAGA